AGCAAATCTGCATAAAATCTCTGCAATTAAAGCTGCGCTCGAGGTAATCACAGCACGTCAACTCTAGAGCATTGTGGCTACGGCGGAAACACAATGCTGCGCTACACTAATGAGTATGGGAGCATAAATTCCCTTACAAAAACCAAATATAATGAGCAAGTTTTACAGACTGTGCCGCAAACTCCCTGTCTGTAACTTAATAAACTCAGCAATCAGCTCTAACAATAAGCGAAGATAAGCAACCGTGTTTCCCTATCCACCATGTGCTAGTCCAGATGGCAGTGGGAACCGAGGCTTCAAAAAAAAGCCTCCAATCAGACCTGTCTAGCAGCTTTAACAAGAACGAGCCCAAAAGCCTGCCAAAATAAAGTGTTTACAGGCCATTTCGTATGAGAGGAGCAAAGAGTACAGAAAAGCCCCACAGAGACACTGGCTTCATCTCAGAAAGATACTAATATCACAGAAACAACTCCACAATCTGAAGACTCTCAATCTGTGCATTCACTATCACTCTAATAGCTGGCTGGATCTAAATCTTTTATAGCTGCCAAGGCAATCATCGCTATTTCTACTGCCTAGCCTATATTTAGGGACAGGGAGTTGAAGAGAACCATATATTGTCAATTTTTGGTTGCACAGACAGGAATGGTATCTCAAATCATGCTTCAGATTTATGCCCTGGAAGACAATGACGAGTATTTAAAAAGTCTTACAATGGAGAGTTCTAGTAGCCTTCCAAGTATGTATGTGCAAAACATGACACCTTTGCAGATGGTGTTAAAACTGCAAAACACAATGAGGGTCTGCTTGCTGTAACGCTACTTTGCACAACAATACTGAAACCTGCAAGATGTCAGAATGTTGCAATGGTTACTATAGTGTCAAACATTGTAATTTGAGGAATCATTCGCACAGAATTGATTCGTTGATTCAAGTGCTTTCACTTCATCATGTTAAGACGTCCTCAAGATCGGATTTCTCAGTGACTACAAAAAGAAATAACCGAGGATTGACATGAGGGTATTTTTAAGGAAATTATTTGCTTGATTTGATTTCTATCTGCCTGCTATTATTAATTATGATTCAATAGTAGTAATATGCATCAACTAGCATCTCTAATAGACAGATCAATCAAAATTATTTTCCTCCTTTTAATGTTATGGTTATTTCAGTTTACACTTTGCTTCATGCAAATGTAATTTAAACATGCTATACTGTACATGGATTGTGAAGACACTATGGGCCCTATCATAAACCCGGCGCAATGTTGCTACTTATAAGTCCCAATTCGCATACTATCTGTCCTAAATAGTATTTGAAAATAGAATTAGTATGTACTCAAATCGTAGTATGTTGAAAAGAGTATGCCACAGGTTCTGGATGGTTTATTATCTCCAGAAAAAATTTGAAGTAGAACCATCCATACTCTAACCGCTGATATTGCCCACAGTACTTTGCGGTTAGGACGTAAATTTAATTAGAATTAGAAACGCGGGTGAAAAATGTAAATAAACTACAAACATGATGGATTCAAAAGACCAACCGTCAAGTAAAGAGGCTTCGGTAAAGATGTTTGTATGACTGTTAATTAATATCTAGCCCACTGGAACATATTTTTGTCGTGTTGGCTGTGTTATATTTCATCTGCAAAAACAATACTGAACTTATATAAAGATGTGTTTGGACATTAATGTCTGAATGCAAAATTACCCAAAGACCTGAGGAGATTTCTCTGCATGAAAAACTTGTGAATGGGAGATTAACCTGCTGCTGCTTCAACAATAAGAAAGGAAATGAATTAAGACAGAAAAGTGAATGATGTGTGGATGTTCCTTCACAAAAAAAGTTCATAGTTTTAGGATGTAGTATAAGTATGCGAATTGGGAAGCAGGGACAGTTTTGACTGATTGTGCGGTGTACAGGCGTCTTTATGACAGCTAGCAACCTTAAACAGGTGCTACTAAAATAGAATCATGAGCAGAGATTAGTTGGACTGTTTAAAAGCACAATAACACGTCTTTGAGGGTCAGAAATCTGGCTGATAAGTAAGTCATTTTTAATTTTTTTATTTATATTTATTATTATTATTATTATTTTTATTTATTTTTTTTTACAAATTTTTCAAAATTTACAAGTAAAAATACTTCTAAAAATCATATAATGTGACTGCTGGATTTTTATTTTTAGTTTCTGTCTCTCACAGTTGAAATGCACCTACACTGAAAATTCTAGATCTCCGACTTAAAAATCATGGAGGTGATCAGGGTGATCGAATTCTTATTAACCTCACTTTATATAAATAAATAAATAAATCAATATATATATATATATATATATATATATATATATATATATATATATATATATATATATATATCTGAAATCTGAAATCTGAATCAAATAGCTCTCCGCTCTTATGAGCAGTAAGTAATTTCCTAGCAGACACAGATTTAACATAACTAAAGTTAAATAAAACTCTAGTTCTTTTGCACACATGCCTGTGAGAGAACATACACACACACAGAGAGAGAGAGAGAGAGAGAGAGAGAGAGAGAGAGAGAGAGAGAGAGAGAGAGGGAGAGAGAGAGAGAGAGAGAGAGAGAGGGAGAGAGAGAGAGAGAGAGAGAGAGAGTGAGAGAGAGAGAGAGAGAGAGAGAGAGGGAGAGAGAGAGAGAGAGAGAGAGAGAGAGAGAGAGAGAGAGAGAGAACAGCTGGCTCTACAACAGAGAGAGAGACTGCAGCAGATGGCATCATGCACCTGACTTCCATTAACACTAGACTCAACCACCATACTTTCAGTTACATTCATAAAAAAATCTAATAACATCTATTGTTGAAGTTCTCATCAAGTTCTCCAAGTTGTGATTTAGCTGTGGCACTAAATGCACTATTATGACACATTGTGAACGACATTGATTATGGCTCATATTACGATTTAAAGTGGTTCAATTAGGCCAGTATTTTATTAAAATATGTTTTCTTAAAGTTTACTTACAGCTGCGCAGATTCCAATGTCAAGTCTGTTTGTTTTTTTATGGCCCATTTCCATTGAGTGGTACGATAGGGTACAGTATGGGACGGCTTTTATGCCTGTTTCCAAGGTCAAAAGGTACCAAAAAGCAAACCTTATCATACCCCTTTTTGGGTACCGTTTCCAAAGGCACCTAGCACAACAAAAGGCGGAGCCAGACACGCAGCTAAATGCTATTGGTTTACAGAAAAACATCACTAGCGTGTGCACAAGCCAGGAGAATAAAAACAAAGGAAGTGCCATTTAAATACACACAGCCGAGACATTACACTGTAATACTATATACATATAATAACAAGCCATGGTCGACTTGAGCTTAAACAAACCTTGTTCGCATCTTGATGTACAGCCACAAAGCCAAGAAGAATAACAGAATCTGCCGTGTCCTGTTGTTGTTATTGTGGCCGCCTAAATGCGCAAGCGGTTTTACTTTCTCCAATAAACTTGAGATCGTTCGCCGCGCATTTATATTTGAAATAATGAACTTCTCTAGCTGATGACAATAATGTGTGCATGATTATTGAAGCGCTTCTGCCATCAGATCCTTTCAGAAATGGACAACTGCGAGAGTGAAGTGCGAAAAAACAAAGGAGCAAATGATTCTTTCAGCAACCTAAAAGATAAACAAACTGCCATGTTTAATTATTATCATCGCTTTTTGGACTATTATGAACTCGGAACGATGGAATTACTTTCAAACAAGATGTTTTTTGTGCTGGTGAAGAATAAAGATGAGAGGTTTGTACTGACTATATATGTTTTAAATTGTTTATAAAGAAAAATAAGGACTAAGGCCGCATTTACACTGCATGACTCTATTCCGATTTATTTCTCACATGTGGCACAGATCGAATATGGCCCATGTACATGTACGCAGGAACAAATCACATGGATTCCGATTTACTTAAATAAGATTCAGGCCTTGTTCATATATGGAAATTTATCTGATATGAATCGGATCTGTGCCGTCGTGTCTGCAGTGTAAGCAGGCAGATCGGATTTTAACCTGTCAATGCGAGTCGCGCGTCAATAAAACCGTAGCGAATGATGTCAAGTCTAACACTTTAATTTTAGAACAGACTTCAGCAGAGTCCCAAACCTTAAATCTCAAACACGAGGACTTAAACAGCTTTTATATTTTCACAGGTATTTAAGCATGTTAATGAGAGTGAGAGAGCGCAACGTCCGCCATGTGCTGTGTAAATGCATACGATCGGAAACAAGTCACTTTTAAAAGATGATGTAAGCAGGTCATCAAAAAAATCGGACACAGTCACAAAATCAGAATTGACCATCAAGATCTGCAGTATAAATGCAGCCTTTTAAGGTATATATTTTTTTTCAATTGGTAACATTTTAGAAATTGTAAGCCTCTGTGTTCATAAATATATATATTTTTTTAAATATAACGTTACAGATATTATCATTGATCTGCAGCTATAAATAAATCCTCTTAAAAGAAAAGTTAGTAATTAACTTTAATACAAGTATTTACGTATATAAAGCATTTATTGCTTCTCATATGTGAACGAGAATGACGTCAACTGAAACTTTATGTCGAACACCACGCTCACCAAAAGGGTACCACATTTGGCAGTGGAGACACAAGCTTGATAAAGGTGACCCGCACCTAACCAAACCATACCATACTGTATCACTCAGCGGAAACGAGGCATTAGATCACATTTTTTGCGTTGGAACTGTTGTACGCACATTTTTGTGTGTGTATCACGTTTATAAATGAGACCCCTGGAAACTATTTAAATTTGCTACCACCTTTTAATATTTTTTTAAAGAAAAGCTTGCAAAGGAAAAGAACAGAAGTAATACGACATTTTCAAAAATGTCAATGGCTGAATTTCCAGCATTCTTCAGTATATCGTCTATATTTCAGCAGAAAGAAACACTAACGGGTTTGGAACAAGTGGAGGATGATAATAATGACAATATCACTCATTCTTAGACATACCTTGATCCAATATGACGAGCTGAGCACTTGACTGCACGTTGCCAGCGTCATTCTCAGCTAAACACTGATAAAAACCTTCATCTGACTTGACCAGTCCCAACACCTGCAGGTTCTGCTCCTTCTGAAAACACCCAAACAAGAGCATTACCGTCATCCCCAAAAAGAAACAGTGCATTCTTTTTAAACACAAGACAAGGTTTTGGCAAAAGGACACCAGCCTTGTGTAAAGCTAATTAGGGACAATCAATCGACAATCAATTAAAGAATTAGTAAAAATGGCGAGTGGCTAGTAATGTTGAAAAACTACTAGCCACAGTAGCTGGTGACCAAGGAAGGTAATGTAAAGCCCTGAATATCAAAAACATTTTATGGTATTTTTAAGCTTTAGAAGAGGCAAAAACTTAGAGCAACTTTTATGATTAATTGATAAAATTAACTTAAATTATAGTTAATCATGGGAATTGGTGGCAACTGACATCCCAACTGGCAACTCACAATGATTTTGAAATAATCGCTTGGGATGACGGCGTCTCCATTTTTCACCCATTTGATGGTGGGAGAAGGTGATCCTGAGACCTCGCACTCGAAGATGACGTCTGTGGCTTCATGAGCAAACACATTCACAGGTTTCTTCAGGAACTGTGGAGAATCTGATAAGAGAAGAAAAACAAAGTAAATATGTGCATGAGAAACCAATTACTTGTTTCGTTAGAGAAACGGCACTTTAAACGCCTATAATCTAGCGCCATTAATCGCTTCAGGAAACGGCATGATTAAATCAGACTGATTTCGATTCTAAAAATACCTCTAAACATCGGGATGTGGTTTAAATATGTACCTCCTAATGGCCAGAGGAAAAATGCGAAACCTCCAAAGGCTTCCCATTAGTAAATGAGGTTATTTGATCTTGGAGAAGATAAACAGGACGCAGATCATCTCAATAACAGGACCGTATGCAGGAGAATGATGTACTGTAGTTTGTCTGCTCTAATTCAATACTTGAAAACAAAACATTTAGTTGATGTATATTTCATAAGCATTGCATTTTTTTCTCTCTCTATGTAATAAAACAAGAGGTGGTCATTTGCATGATTAATTATGCCATGTATAATTCTCTAATTAATAGATTTGACTTATTTAAATATATAAACAAAGCATTATTATTAAATTTACATTAGTGTTGTTTAAATATTACGGTATACAGTGGAGACAGTAAGTATTGAACATGTCATGTTTTTTTTTCTCAGAATAATATTACTAAAGTTGCTGTTGACTAGGGATGGGCGATACCACAATTTTTTTAATTCGATACGATACCAATACATTTTGTTTAAATATTTACAATACCGATATCGATACCATGTATTATTTAAAATGTTAATGTAATTTTTCTAAATATTGTTAAGAAAAAAATCATTACATGTACAGTAAATATACAAACACGCACACATGACCATATTGCATATACACACTGCATACACACATACTGTATATACACCCACTGCACAGATACACACATCCACAATTATATTTATTCACCTAATGGTAATGAGAAAGAGAGAGCTGACATATTATTCTGATTTATTATTTTTTTATTTGTATTTAATTATTATACCATATATTATAATACTATACTATTATTTGTTGTGTTTATATATATATATATACATATATATATATATATATATATATATATATATATATATATATATATACATATATATATATATATATATATATATATATATATATTAGGGGTGTCACGATTTCGATTTTTAATCGAAATCGATCGAAATTTATGCTCAATTTCGATTATCGAATCAAAAAATAGAATCGTTGATGCTGCCACGCCCCCATGTCACGTCAGCTTGTCTTGCCAAGCGGGAAAAAACAGGCTTGTTGAATTGCTTGTTAAACTGCAGGAGACCCGTCGACAGAACTTAAACCCTCTCCTTTTTCAATGAAGTCGCCGGTGTTTAAGCATTTTGGATTTCCAGTGAGTTATGTTGACAACGTTCGTGTCGTCGACAAAAAAAAACATAGTTTTGCAAGCTCTGCTATGTACGTATCACGTACGGTTCGTCCGATAGACAACACCGGCAGCGTGATCCTCCGCCCGCCCCCGTTGCAAATCCGCTCGCCAAAAGTACACACTCAGGCCCTGTTTACACTGTCTTTGTTTTTAAATGGTATTTTAGAACGACAACGATTTGACATCCACAGTGGCGTGTAGCATTTCTGAGCAGCCCTCCTTCCTCTCTACCTCTGAAAATGCACATCACGTGACCACACAGACACACACACAGCCATGCACTCGAGACAGCAGGTCCAGGCAGTCAGAGGACTGCTTCAATCTTTCACTCACTTGTACTTAGTCATTTTAGCGAACACCTCAGATACTGTTGGCTGGTTCCTGTTGGTTGTGCGTCTTTTTTACCGACGCCATTATAACGACACAGATCACTGCCTATTCACGAGTCCCGCAGAAAAAGTGATTGACAGGTGGTAATTATGTGTGTATCTTGCCTTTATTCATTTACTGTATGATTTTGAAACAGAGACCATGCAGGTCAGGTAGTTTAAACGGTAGGCTAGAAATAATTAATTGGTCATTAATTAATTAATTATTCATAATCGAAAATCGAATCGAATCGTGCCTTTAGAATCGAAAATGTAATTGAATTGAGGATTTTGAGGATCGTGACACCCTTAATATATATATATATATATAATGCATCTGTGTGTGTGTGCATGTGTGTGTGTTTTTGTGTTCTTTTTAATATAAAGCTTTTTTTGTAATGTAAATGCTCTGGCAAAACGTTTGTAACATTTGTCATGCCAATAAAGCAATTATTGAACTGAATTGAGAGAGAGAGAGAGAGAGGGGTTTGCCTCCTTTAAAACTCTCCTATAAAGTCTTTTGTCAGAACGAGGGGGACTGAGCAGAGGAACACTGGGCATCTTATTTTTGTTCCGCTTCTTTATAAGTTTCAGGGTGTGTTGTCTGTAAGTGTTTATAAAGGATGCTTGTATTGTTGCTGTGTACAACTTTCTTATCACAAATATTACTCGTGCAAAGCTTTTTCAGCTAATGAGCACGAAAACACGCTGTTATCTCTCTGCCGTCGTGTCATTCCATAATGCAGAAGTGTGTGACTTGCGTATGTTGAGTATGTAAGTTATCTGAAAGGCACATGATCGCTCACATGACATTCCGTCGCAGATTGATTGGTGTAACGTCTTGTATACAAAGCGTCACAGTGCTAAATTATTATATTATGCAGAAATTAGTAAAATAAAGTGGAAATATCGATACTTTAAAAAAATATCGATGCCGAATTAGAAGCTTCTAAGTATTGATATATCGATACTCGAGCATCGATGTGCACATCCCTACTGTTGGAACTGAACCAGATTTTGGTCAAAACCCAAACAATAGAAATATAAAACAATACTAAAACAAAATCTGATGAATTAGTAGTGTGTAATAACAATGGACTGACTCAAGGAGAAAGAACTGAATTACTAAACGTGTTTAATATTAAAACTAAAGTTTTTTTGATGATGGCAGCTTAAAGACGCCTCTCATATTGAGAAATAAGTCACATGCATTGCTCAGGTGTGAGTTTTTCACAAACTTCAACAGAGTGTAAAAATCTTAATGGCTCTGTGGGTCTCATCTATCAAATCTGATCTTTAGTTTGTATTCTCTATTGGATTCAGCTCCGGTGTTTGGCTGGGCCATTGTACAGCTTGATTTCCTTTCCTGAATTTATCTGAGAGTTTTCTTGGCTGTGTTTTGGATCATCGTCTTGCTGAAATGTCCACCCTGGTTTCATCTTCATCATCCTGCTAATGCAGATGTTGGACTGAAGGAGCTGATATTCAATTACAATGACAAAGGGCAGAGGGTTGCTGAAGATGCTGTCTGGGCTTTCACTGCCTTTCTACACCTCCCTTTCTTCATGTGTTCAATACTTTTTCCCTGCGTCATTTCATGTTATTATGCAAAACCTAATTAGTAACTGAATTAGATTTGATTTCTTTGGTTGTTGTTAAGGGAAATTTCAAGTCAATGGCACTTAGAAAATACGCTTTCTAAGCAAAGTGGTGACGTGTTCATTACTTATTTTGCCCCACTGTATGTTTAAACAGTTATTCATGAATCAGTTTATTCAATTTTAGCTTTATGTTTTTTCTTCCTTTTTTTAAAACCCTCTCTAAATATTTTTATTTTAGTAAGTAGCTGAACTATAATAATTTTTATATATTTTTTATTTATTTATGGTTTACGCTTGTTTTATTTAAAATAACAATAATAGTTAAATGTACTGTAGCTTAAATTACTTGATTATATGTCAATTTTTTTTTAACTAAAGTTTTACCCATTTCTTTATTTTATATTTATCAAGTTATTTTATGACAAAAATTATAGTAAAAATATGAAAATAGCTAAAGTAAAATATATTTGAAAATGTATATAAAAATCTATTCAATTTCAGTTAATGTTCATTTTATTTAAATGGAAAAAGCGGAAATAATTAAATTAAATTAAGTTAAAATTATTTAATTAAATTTGATTGCAGAATATATCGGTTTATTCTTGATTTCATTCAAAAATACTTTTCAAAAAATATTGTATTTAAATAAAATACAATGTACCAACGCATGATAAATGAACTGCATGCAAAAACGCAAAAAAAGCTTAAAATAAAAAAAAATTAACTGAATTAGACTGATTTAAATCTAAAATTGCAAAAAAAAAAACAACAATAATAATCTAAAGGGGAAAAAGTACAAATAAAAACTATGATTATTAGCAAAAATACTGAATAATCTGTTTCTGAAATAAAATATACATTCTGAAATAAACGTCTCAGCAACATTTGCTTCACAAAGATTTGAAGCAAATGCTGAAATTGTAATGCAAAAACAAAAACTAAATTAAATGAAATGCATGGTAAATGGGCTGATCTAAATCTAAAGACAAAAAAATGATTAAAGGTGAAAAAGCACAAATACAAACTATAAATATCAAAGTAAATATTTATGAGATTATCAAAAAAATATACACATTCACATTAGAAAACCAAAGAAAGCAGGGAGCCTACACAATGATTGGAACCAAGTTGAGCTAAAACAAAGCTTCCAGTACAGTATGTTTTCCAGATGAGTGGGGTTTCTAGAATATCTGGCTCTGTCATATCTAACATAAGTTGCAGAATGGAGCCAAACTGACAGAGGTGCGGTGATGAATGGCTGTAAGTCTGTGCTCCTGCAGTTTGCTGAGGCCTGCACACACAACCTGCTGAAAAACACTTGTCACACACTGCTGGGTTCCTGCTCACGCCAGATCCACACGGGACAGATGGTTCATGTTTCACTCACTCAAACACACACACACACACACTTACACAGGGCAGCGCTTCATATCAGGGCTACTGACTGTAAAAATGATGCATCAGCTACAAATTTACAGATAAAACCGGTGTTGGTTTCTTTAGCAGTTTTGCAACTATTTAAGCCAGTTTTGTTTTAAAATTAAGTGTGATGAATCGAAATGAAATCGAAATCACAATCTACGTCTGCTTGAAGTCAAAATGAACAATGTTTACTTTGCTAGCTCACATCGTTACTCTTAAAAGTCCCA